AGTGAGTCTTTTCCTCCCTCGGCCCACCCGGCCCTGGGGAGTCCCCACGATGTCGCTGCCCTAGTCCCTGCCCAGCATTTGGTTCACTTGGAATCCTTCCCTCAGCAGCCCCTCTGCTTTTCCACCCACGGGTCCCTGTGAAGCAAAGGAAAGAGAGGGTGCAGGGTTGGTGTCAGACGTGGGGGCATGGAGTCCATCCCATCTGGGGAATGTGACTCTACCAAGGGATGCATCTCTAGCAGCAGCTTCCTCATGTCTGAGTCTGAGCCAAGGTGGTGGCGTCAGCCCAGTATCTGTTACCCTCTCCTGCCAACAGCCCTATGGGGGTTGCCCTTCCCTCACCCATAGTCCCTAGGGTTAAAACAGGGCTGACCCCTTCTCTTGAGCTCCAGGATGGGCCTGAGACCCCTGCCTGGCCTATCTTACTTTATCTCCTGGCCGCAGTGACTGATGTCAGGAATAGCCACATGACTTAAGCCAAACCAAGTCCTGGCCCTTTGTGGGAACCTCTGGGAAAGTGGCAGGGGTGGGATGCGCCCTCCTCGTGGTCATCTTTCTAGAAGAGTGAGGGTGAGACACTCGCTCCTGATGACATGGTTTGGGCATCATGATCCAGCTGTGCCTAAAGCTGTTACCCTCTAGACTTGCCAGTAACTTACGCTTGAGTTAGATCATTCGGAAAACTAAGAATCCAGAGAATCCTAATTTCCCATCTGTTATTAATACTCCTTTACAAGCATGAGAAATTTTGAGCAACTGACATCAAATATTAAGTGCTGCTTACACGTGGACAGCAACACTTTTTTTTTTCCACTAAAAAGGTATTTCATTAGGGAAAAAAAAATCTCATCCCTCCTGTACTCCATTTCTTTCTTTTTTTTAAAGATTTTTTATTTGAGAGAGAGAGAGAAGGAGCAGGGGGAGGGGCAAAAGCAGACTTCCCGCTGTGCAGGGAGCCCAACATGGGGCTCCATCCCAAGACTCCCACTCTGGGATCGTGATCTGAGCCGAAGGCAGATGCTTAACCGACTGAGCCACCCAGGTGCCCCTCCACCATTTTTTTCTTAAAATACATAATAATAACTAAAATACAAGCCTTTGGTTATGTGAACAAAAATTTCTCAGGTATTTATTTATTGAGTGCCTTATTAAAATTTGAACCGATGTTTATGTGCCAGACACTGTGCTAAGCCCTTTACATATATGACTTCATCAAATCCTTATATTATTATGCCCACTTTACAAAAGAGGCAGAAAGAGTTAAGTGACTTGCCCGAGATCAAGTTCCAGGCCCCAGGATGGAGCCTGCCCATCCTTCAATGTCCTTGCTAAAGAGTTTCTTCTTTGGAGGGCCTTCTCTGATTTCCCCAGTAGGAAGTGCCCTCTGCTGCCACGGACGCCCCACCCCGCCTTGCCAGCTGATGTGCTGGGTGTGTGTCTCACACCCTGGGTGGGGTGTGAACTGGTGTGGGCCGAGGCTTCACTCCCACGCAGGTCCATCCACAGTTGCAAGTGGGAAGTCGATAGCCAGCCTCAGCCCCATCTGCAGCCACTTGGCCTCTTTCTCTGCTATCCTGAGAAGACCAGGCCTCAACTGAGGGGTGCACACGGTGGGCGGTTGGGGAGACCTAGACAGAGGGTCCTCATTCCTGGACAACTGGAGACCCCCAGCATCTCTCCAAGCCCGGAAGGTGTGGGAAGGAACTGGGACAGGGCTCCTCCCAAACCAACTGTGTGACTGTATCCTCCCTGTGCTTCAGTTTCCTCGCTGGTAAAATGAGGAGGTTGGTTGAGGAGAGACCCCCCCCCCGCCCCAGGAATCCAAGGCAGGTCCTGTGGGAATGAGTAAGGCAGAAGTTTCTTTCCTCGTCCAGGAAGCTTTTGGGGTTTCAGGCAAGCTGTCTGCGGGACTTGCATTCTTTCATTCATCAATTGATCACCCCTTATGTGGAGGCAGTGTTTGATACTTTGGAGAGTAAGACAGGAAACGACCCCGTTGCCCAAGAGCTCACTCTGTAGCTCTGGTGTGGGGAGGCCTTCCAGCCTCCCCTCGCAGGGCCCGCAGGCTTTGAACTAGAGGATCAAGACCTCCCGCCCTGGCCGTGGACGAGGACTCAGGGCTCAGAGGAGAGAGATGTGTCCTCCCTCCAGCTCTGCCCCCTCCCTCCAGTCCACCTGGGCTCTCTGGGCACTAGTCCCTTCCCCTTCTAAGTGGGAGGTTGCCCTGGAGGACCCTGAAGCCTGCCCTGCTGGCCTGGGAGGGCGTCCACCTCTTGGGGAAGCCATGCACAGCCATTCGTGGTTAAACATTACCCATTCTGTGTCCCTCATCCCTGACACGCCTTAGGGAGAGCCAGCCATAAACACTGCCTTCTTCAAACTTCCTCCAGGGCTGTGGCCTCCTGAGAGAGGCCACAGGCACACTTGCTGACTGTCTCCTTTCCACCCAAAGCTAGGGTCTGCAGAGGGAAAGACTGGGGTCCAGGTCTGGGGCTGGGGGCCGAGGTGGGGAACGATTGGGCCCTAGCCACTGCCCCCCTGCCCCGCAGATTTTTTTTTTTTCTTGGTTACATCACGTGTGTGGCTTCTCCAGATCCTTCCCTGTGGAGCTCATGGACTGGCTTAATGAGTCCCTTAGGTGCCCGCCTCAGGCAAGACGACCTGGCCCTCTTGGTTTCCGAGGAACAAAAATCATCCAGAGTCATCGAGGCAGCCTCCCTGCATGGGGTGCCCCACTTCAGCCTCTGCTCCCCGACCCCTTTCAAGCAAGGAGGGCCAGGCCCAGCTGTCATACCCATCCCACCGGCCTGAGCATTTAAAATTAAGATTCATTAATCCTGGGTTCCCACAAATCTCACCAGGGGGAATGGATTCTAGGGGGATAGCACTTTCCCATATGCAGAGAGCTTTCTTCTCAGCTCATTCCTTTCCATCTTCAAAGCAACTTTGTAAAATAGGTATGATCTCATTGTCATCCACAGCGTACGTATGACAACGTTGAGGCTGCAGGTCATCAACCTTTGAGTGCCAAGTATCAGAGTCGCGTCTGACTCCAAAGCCCAGACTGGTTTCATGCCCAATTCTAGGCAGAGCAGGGGGTGGCCATTCCCCCAGCCCCGCTTAAGGCAGACATCACTAATCAATCACAGCACGGCAGGTGCTGCGACTCATCTGCCCTGCTCTTTTCTAAGAAGCTGGGAGGCAGCTGTGAACCCCTCAACACCGCATTGCAGGACACCATTACCTATCAGAAGATCACATCTACGCTATTTGCCATTCCTGTGATCCCACACCATCAGCCTTGAGCCCTCAGGACTCAGAAACAATCCCGAGGTGCTCTAGTAACCAGACCACGGGACCCTGGGCACCGCACATCAGTTGCTATGCTGTTCTCCGACCGGGGTTCCTGGCTCCTCTGTCCCCCAGACAGATGTCCCTTCTGTGCACGGTCTCCCTTAGAGATGCAACAACCATGCTGGTTTGCCTGAGGCTTCTGGGTTTGCTAAGTCTTTAATAGAAGTATTTATTAGGAAACACTTCAGGAACGCCTGGGTGGCTCAGTCGGTTAAGTGTGTACCTTCAGCTCGGGTCATGATGCCAAGGTTCTGGGGTCGAGTCCTGCATCGGGATCCTTGCTCAGTGGGACACCTGCTACTCCCTCTGTCTGCCTCTCTCTCTCTCTCTCTCTGACAAAAAAAAAAAAAAAAGGAAACAGGTATACCCCAACATGTAGATAATATTATCAGAGTTTTTAAGCCACAGAACACCACAGACACAACTAAATCCCTGTGTGTCAGTGCACCCACGCCACCACATTCTGAATTTCATGTTTCTCATTCCCATGCACATTTTTATACTTTTATTACATATATGCGTATCCATATGATTAAACCTTACAAAAATGGTGTTGTTCGGATCTTGTTGCAGCTTGTGATTTTCAAACAACTGGACGTGATGGACTCTCAGGCACGATGCTCAGTGCAGCTCTGAATCGCCCAGCAGATCATAGTTGCAAGTATTTGTCGAACTCTTCCTCTGTACCAGGCACGGTTGCAGGTGCCTTGCCCGCCTCACCTCATTTCACATTCCTGACAGAATTATTTTTATCCCCCCTTTATAGATTTGAAAACAAAGGCACAGAAAAGTGAAATTATTTTTTTTAAGATTGTATTTATTTATTTGAGAGAGAGAGCGAGAGCAAGAGAGCACAAGCAGGGGGAGCGGCAGGCAGAGGGAGAGGGAGAAACAGGCTCCCCTGAGCAAGGAGCCTTGATCCCAGGACCTCGAGATCATGACCTGAGCCGAAGGCAGATGCTTAATCAGCTGAGCCCCCCAGGCGCCCCAGAAAGGTGAAATTATGTCCCCAAGTCACATAGCTTGGAGGCTGTTCTCCTAACCGCTAGACACCGCTCCCTCTACTTCTGCGTGGTCTGTTGAATGAAAACACAGTAATTTATCCATCTGTTCTCCTATTTAAGGGCCATTGCTTATTTTTGCACACTTGCCTCAACATTGGTCTCAGAGGGTTTGGGGGTGGTTGTATTATCTTGCTTGGTTCCTCCGTGAAGCTGTGAGTAGCTACTTGTCCCATCCCCCTACACCCGCTAGAGATGAGGAAACTAAGATCAGCAAGGATGAATCACGTTCTCAAAGCTGCGCAGCTCCCACGGGCCAGAGGTGGGCAGCGAACCTGGACGCCGGCAGTTCCGGCACCCAGAGACTCTCCCGTGTCGCACATGAGCCCTCGGCTCCCCATTGGCTTCGCCTCTTGGCTCTGTGCCTGGCCGCCTGCCCTCCCTCCCCCACAACCCCCTCCCCAATAACAGACTTCTGGTGTCCCCTCCTCTGGCCACCCTCTGTTGTCGCTCTCCTTCCAGAAAAGGGACCCAACCGGAAGGCCAGTTCATGTTAGGAAATTCCAGCCACGTGAGCCAACCCGAGCCAGGGATTCTGAGCAGCCAGTGGCTTTAGAAGAAACTGAAACTTGGTTTGCTGGGGGCGGAGTGGTCACCGGGGATTTAAAGAGCTGCCACTTCCTTGGGCCCCCAGAGGGCACTGGGAGGTCACAGTGGCAGAGGGACACCCGAACTGAGCCTCTGCCCGCCCCCTGCCTAAGCCATGCACCTCTGTGGGGGCAGTGGGCTGCTGACCAGGACGGTGAGTACAGGGAACCAGGGACAGGGGATGAGACGGGGAATATGGCCAAGCGTCCCCAGTTCCTAGGCAGGGAGGGACATGGCCAGAGCTTCTAGTCCCAGCTCTGTGCTTACGGGCGGTGTGACCGTGGGACCCATATATCCCCTCTCTGGGCTTCAGTTTCCCCAGGGGATTGAAGTGAGGGCTTTCCTGCTCTCATAGTGCAGAGCCAGGCTCCCGTTTTAGAACACGGCTTCTGAAGAGTGCTGTCTCCACACCCACCCTCCCCTCATTGCCCTTATGGGAGCATTCTCTTCCCTCCCCAAATTCTCCGGCGGCATGGCTCCCCTTGGAGGCCCTGCTCCTCTCCCAGGACCCAAGTACCAGAAGCCTATCTCCTTCTGTCAAGTGCAGGTCTTTCCCCCAGGCTCCAGTCTCTTGGCCCTCCCAGAACCTGCAATGGGCCTCTTGTGACCATGAACTGAGCAACATGGAGTTCTCAGCCAGGGAGGGCAGGGTCTTGGGTCCTGTCTGAGCTCCCTACAGTCAGAAGGCACTCCCAGAGTGACCTAGGGGAAGGGGGATTTGGGCTATGGGGTCTCCAACATTCTCTCTTGCCCGACCTTCCAAAACATGGGGCATTGGGGTTACTTTGTGTAAGTTTCACGGAGCCCCTAAGGGGGGGTGCCCAGGGGAGGGGAAGGGGCACTGCTGGGAAGCTTTGGGTCCACTCATGCATTCCTTCCAGGTTGCTGCCACACTAGAATGTCAGCAACTTGAGGGCAGGGATTTTTGCCTGCTTGATTTGCTGTTTTGTCCCCCTCACTCGGTGCCTGGCACACAGCAGGTGCTCAATAAATATCTGTTGAGGCACTGAATATCAGCTTTGGGCCTGGGCTGGGCCTGGGCTCACAGAGCCGAATCGGACCCTGGCCCTGCCATTGCTGGTGAAGCTCACAAAGCCTGCTTTGTGGCCCTTGTACCGATGAGGCAGCGGGGCTCCAGAAGGGAGCGATTTGCCCAAAGCAGGATGGCTGCTAAGTAGAGTGTAGGTGTGAAGTCCATTCTGTCTGCATTCTAACTGAGGCTTTGGGCTTCTCCATTCATCCTCCCCCATTGTGAGCTGTAAGCAGGCCGTGTGGGTGAGGCAGGTGTTCCAACAAGGTGTACCTGCGAGCGATGCCGTGTGTGGGTGCCCAGAAAGCCAGAGGGGGCCTCTAGGAGACAGGAGACTCTTGGGGAATTGGATCGTGGAGAGTGTGGCTTTACAGATGGCCTGGACAGAGGGTGCAAGCCCCCGCCGGGACCCCTGAGCCCTCTGCCTCACATCCTGCAGGACCCCGAGGAGTGTCAGAGGCTGAAGAAGAAGCAGAAGAACCGCGCAGCCGCCCAGCGCAGCCGGCAGAAGCACACGGACAAGGCGGACGCCCTGCACCAGGTGGGGGATGCCTTCCTTTCCCTACCCTGACTCCACTCTCCTGGCCTGGCCACCTCTCCTCCATCCCTACCTCCATGCCTGTGAGTGGCTCTCCCTCCACTGCTGTATGTTTCCAGGTTGCCTGAGCTCGAGAGAGGTGCTAAGTACAAACTGTGCCAGACATGCACTGGGCTCTGGGGACACAAAGGTGTGTCCGCAGCCCAGCCCTGCCCCTGAGGTGCCCCAGATCTAGGGAGAGGAGACAAACACTCACCCTATGAGAAACTCGTTCAGGGTTAAGATGGGCTGCTTTAGAGTGCCAGCCGTGGCACTCATAGCTACAAGTCACTTCCTTCGCTGAGCTTCACTGTCCTCATCCAAAAACGGGGACCATAATCCCCCTCTGGCAGGACCCTTGTGGAGACTAAAGGAGGCAAAGGAGCCCAGTGGGGTCTGGGAGGGCTCCACTGTACTTGCCTCTTAACCTTGCATGGTAATTTGACCTTGGATGGTAAGCTGACCCTTGGAGCTTTTCTTCTTCCTCTGTGGCAGAGAGAAAGGACATCACCGGTTCCATCCCAGGGAAAGGATTCAGAGCTGGGCTGAGGACCTGGCCCTTGGGAAAAATGCTTACACCTTAGTTCTTATAGTGCTGAGTGAAATTCTACAGCCCTGCCTACCAAAGGCCCTGTGCTGTTTCCTCCCCTAACACCCCACACCCTGTTCTCCCTGTTCCTTCGATGACCACGCACATCCAGCCCAGGGGCTCTGCAGAGACTGTTCTCTCTAGCCTCAGACCACAGTCCAGCTAGATCCTCACTTCTTTCCGGTTGTTTGGTTTAAATGTCACCTCCTCCGAAGGGCCTTTCTAAATCACATGATCTAAAGAGCCGGCTACCTGTTACTCTTCTCTATTCTTCTTGTTAGCCCTGAACTTACATATTTGAGGTCTATTGCTCGTCTCCTTCGCCAGACTAGGAGCACCATGAAGGCAGGGAACTATTTTGTCCCCTGCTGTTTCCCCATCACCTGGAGCAGTGCCCGACAAACAGAAGGAACTCGGTCGTGCCCTGTGGAGCGGATGATAGAGTCAGAATAAAGTGCTCTAGGAGCACAAAGATGGGGCAACACATAGCCAGTGGCATCAGGGTGATAATGGAGATGGAGTCTGAGCTGGTCTTGAAAGATGCATAGGAGTTTTCCAAACGGATGAAGGTAGGAAAAGGCATGCCGGCAAATGAAATAGTGCTGGCGTGGGCATGTGTGAGTGAGGACCAGGATGGTGCCCGCCTGGCAGGGTAGAGACTTCATGCATTCATGTGTTCACTCCTTCTAAGAAGGCCTATTGAGTGTCTTCCATGTGACAGGTACATTTCTCAGCATCGGCGATACAGCTGCGAACCCAGCAGACAAAAACCTACCCCACCCTCTCCAGGGCTCATATTTTCATGGGGGAGCCAGACAGACAAATAAATTATCCATGGGGGATTGGGGATGTCAACTGGTGATAAGCGCTGTGGGGCCAAATACAGCAGGGCAGAGGCAAGGGAGCGGGGAGGGTGGGGTGACGGAAACCTAACTGGGGAAGCCTTCCCTGAGGAGGTAACACGTGAGCAGCCTAGAGATGGTGAGGGAACGAAGGAGTGAACCAGCAAATGACTCAGTTTCTGGAGGTGAATTGAAGCCTTTGGAGAATTTAGGTGAGAGGTGACCTAATGCCATGTTTTAAAAATATCATTCCACATGCAGAGACCGGCCTGGAAGTAGGGCTGCTAGTGGTTTTGAGGCCTGTTAGCATTTTGAGTTCATGCTCTCAGCAACATTTTTTATGTAAAACACCCTTGTGGCTTCTCCTTTTAAAAACTGTCCACGAAAGGGGCGCCTGGGTGGCTCGGTGGGTTAAGTGTCCGGTTCTTGGTTTCAGCTCAGGTCATGATCTCATGGGTCATGAGATCGAGCCCCAAGTGGAGCCCGCGTGGGGCCAGTAGGGCCCTGTGCTCAGCAAGGAGTCAGCTTGAGCTTCTGTCTCTGCCCCTCCCCCTGCTCACGCAGTCTCTCTCTCTTTCAAATCAATGAAAAAAAAAATAAATAAAAGATAAATAAAAATTGTCCACAAAAGGGATGAGGTAGGGGAGGGAACCAGAGGAAGTCACTCAGCCTTAGGAGCTGTGGAAAGAAAGCTCTTTCATTGCTGTCACTATAAAGGGTCGTTTAGAACTGCACGCTATCAGTAGGTTCTCAGAACTCAGAGTCCAGCAGAACAGAACCTACCAGATGCTGATTCGGGGGTGCCGAATACAACATTCCGATGCTGCCACCCTCTGAAACACTACCCGAGGCTCCTCCCACAGTGCCTCCGTGAGTCAGTTCTGGGCACTAGGGAGATCTGACAGGGGCATGAAGCAGCCTAGAAGTGTGCAAAACAGGATGACCTCCAAGCTGTCGTGAGAAGGCCACGTCGGGATTAGCCCAGGGGAGGAGGTACTGGAAGAGTGTGCAGGCAGAGGAGACAGGAAATGTGGTGAGGAAGCAGAGTCCACTGGAGGGAGAGGAAGTTAAGGGGAGCAGGAGAAGTCAGAGAGATAAAGCTGGAGGTGTGAGCTGGGGCCACGGTGCACAGGGAGGCGTGGGAGCCTTTAAAGGACTTGAACTTGAATGTACAGTTGATCCCGTAATTGCCAAACTGTTCCTCTGGGCCAGGAGAACAGGGAGGTTTCAGGGGCGCCCCAGTCAGGATACTCGTGGAGTTCTCAAGTGAGTGGTGGTGGCCGGCTGGTGGAGACCAGCTGGCCCACGGGACCGGTGGTGAGGATGGAGAGCAGGCCAGTCGGAGCCCCAGTAGGAGTGGAATGGGCAAGAGGGGCTGGGTGGTTGTGGAGAGCCGGCCAGAGAGGAGCCAAGGGGCCCTCGCGGAGACATTTCGTTGGCAATATACCTTTCCCTCTAAGTTAAGGACGCTAGGGACGGGGTACACGACTCATGCTGGCTGACGTCCCCTCCCCCATCCATCTGCTTCTGCCCCCAGCAGCACGAGACCCTGGAGAAACACAACCATCTGCTGCGGAGGGAGATCCAGGCCCTGCAGGCGGAGCTGGTGTGGTGGAGCCGGACCCTGCAAGCGCATGAACGCCTGTGCCTCATGGACTCTGCCACCTGGTTGGCTCCAGTGACCCCTGGTTGCTGGGGCCAGACCGAGCGGCCCCCGGACTCCATGCTCCATGGACAACATGGCTGCCAGGAGCAGCTGGGCCTGTTTCAGACCTCAGTCTCTTCTCCCTCGGCTCACCGGCTCTCTCCAGATCCACAGCCTCATAGTTCACCTGGCCTCCCCCTGTCCCCTCTGCCTTCTCTGTCCCTTGACTCCACTCAGGTCACCGCATCTCCTGCCCAACTGTGCCCCAGCCCTGTCCAGTCAGCCTCGCTCACTGGATCCAGCCTGCCAAGGCCTTCCTCCAAGCTCGACACCCTCCTGCCCGGTCCCCCAGCCCAGCCCACCCCTCTACAGCCCCTTGTGATGGAGCACCCCACCAGAGGGAAGCTGGGGTCCTCACCTGACAGCCTCTCAACTGCCCTGGGGCTGGCCTGCCTGCAGGGTGGGGAGTACAAGCCCGCGGCCTTATCGGCAGCAGATCAGCAAGGGCTGGGTGTGGATCCCAGCCCCCACCCACTCTTGGCTTTCCCCCTGCTTTCCTCTGCTCAAGTCCACTTCTAACCCATCCCTGCGAGCCGAGCTAGCCCCTTCCTTGGACTGAAGTAGCAACCTCAGCACACTGGCGTCTCCTCCCTTACCATTGGAGGTTCCCTTTCTTGGCTGACCAGCTGGCCCAGCATTTCACCAGGAGGAGAACGTCATCACTGCTGCCCAGCACTGCCAGGCCCTGTCACCGCCATTATTGTATTTCAACTTCATGGTCATTCTGCAAAATCCAGATGATCACACCACTTTTTTAGATAAGGAGACGGAGGCCAGAGAAGCCGTGTGATGTGCCCAAGGTCGCACAGACTTTTTGGGGACCTGAAACACCACCATCTGCTCCTCTTTCTCCTGGTGGGATCCTGGCCCGGGCACCCTAGGAGCTGAAGTCCTAGAAACTGGGGGCTGGTGTGAGGTTTATGTGCTGGGAACAGGAAGGAGCTCTTTCTTCTGGTTTGTGGGGGAGCCCTGCAGTTCCTGAAACCTCAACCTAGCTGGGGCTAGTCCAGAGTCCAAGAGGGATAGGGAGAGGCCAAGCAGGAGCCCAGAAGTGGACTTCTTCTTCCCTAGCAGTGTTTTCAGTGCCAAGGAACTGAACCTGTGGGTTGGAGTTGGGGAGAAGCCTGGAACAGTCCCCCCAGGGATTTCTGCAGGAGGGGAACCCGTAGCCATACCAAGACCTCTGGGAGATTCTCCAGGGTCAGCTCCCCAGGCTATTCCCAGATAGCTCCCTGCCTCTCCCAAGCAGGAGCTCAGCTGCAGTATCTGCTGGGGTAGGGGTTGGGGGGGGTGGGTGTGGGTTCTCACTCAGACTCAGGACAAGCTCTGTAAGGGGCCTGAGATGAGAAGCCCCAATTCTTCACCCAGATTTTCTTTTTTTTTTTTTAAGATTTTATTTATTTATTTGACAGAGAGATAGAGAGAGAGCACAAGTAGGCAGAGAGACAGGCAGAGGGAGAGGGAGAAGCAGGCTCCCCAACGAGCAGGGAGCCCGATGTGGGGCTCGATCCCAGGGCCCTGGGATCATGACCTGAGCCAAAGGCAGCCACTTAACTGACTGAGCCACCCAGGCGCCCCATCTTCACCCAGATTTTCACGCACATATAAACAGACACTATGCTAGTATTTAACACACTCCAGGATGCTGAGCACAAATCTCGGCACATGTTATGGTAAATAAATTAAAATGTTTTCCAATTCTTTTTGCGTTGGCCCATTCTTTAAAGCTCTGATTGTACTCGGCATGGTTGAAGCTGACGGGCCTTTGAAAGAAGAGGTAATAGTCTAGAGTTTAGGGGTGGGCAATCCCTCATGGACCTCCCAATCTAACCCCCTCCTCATATCGAAAATGAGGAAGCTGAGACCCAGAGACAGGCTGAACTTGCCCAGGACCACACAGCTAGGCCTGGTGTGATGGTTGCAGGACTGTTGGTGGTGCCAGAGCCAGGGTCACCACAGGTTCATGGAGAGCAGACTGGTGGGAGGAAAGCCAAGGTGCTTTTGATTGGAGGCCAGCTGGAGTCTGGAACAAGAGCTGATATAACGCACCATAGACCAGGACTCAACGAGGAGCGGAGTGTGTGTTTGTGAGGATATTGTGGTCTGGCTTGTGTCCATATACCCTAAATATAGTCAGATACTGTGCTGTGTTTTACTTGGGTTAACTCCAGGTTATGCCTCTAATATGCCTCCAGTAACTCTGTGAGGTAGGTATGGATATTATTCCCACTGTTCAGAAGGGGAAACTGAGGCCTGGGAGTGTTAAGTAACCAGCCCAAGGACACATAACTAGGAAGTAGCACAGACTTGATGCAACATCAGGAGCACTTAAACACAGACGATCCTGCCTTCCACCTACCCCATATTCCTCCCATAAGCCCTGCTTGAAGGGGCTGGCACGTACTCATAGATGTGACCCAAGGAGTTAAAACCCTACCTTGAGCTCAAAACTCAAAAATAAGAGAGGGGAGTGACTAAATTAACATTGGCGCACTCCTATAATGGGCTGCTGAAGAGGTGCGAGGAATAAAGAATGCTTTGAAGAATAGTTAATGAGATGGGGAAATGCTCACAACACATGAGGCAGAAAAAAATAGAATGTGTAACTGTCACTATAGTTTGATATGTTTATTTAAAAATAGAAAAAGAAAAGGAGTAGGAGGAGATGTTGTAGGATTCTTGAGAAGGGATATGAGCTAATATCTGTGAATCCTCAAATTTGTAAACACAGCTACTGTTATAGCATGAGGCTTCCACATAGTCGAATATATCCTAGGAATTTAGATCTGAGTGTGTCTATCACTGCACAACGAATTACTCTAAAACGTAGTGGCTTAATTGACAAATGTTTTATCATCTCACAGATTTTGTGGGGCAAGAATCTGGGCACAGCTTAGTGGGGGGCATCTGGCTCAGGGTCTTCCACAGGCTCCAAAGTGTTGGCCAGGGCTGCATCATAGGAGGGGTCATCTGGGGCAGGGAGATCAGCTTCCAAGCTCACGCATAGGCTGTCTGCGGGCCTCAGAAGGTCCACTTCTGAGCTTACTCACAAGGCTGTTGGCAGGCTTCAGTTCCTTGAGGGCCCCTGGACCAAGGACCTCAGGTTCTTGTAGGCTGTTGGCTGGAGAGATTAGTTCCTTGCCACAGGGACCTCCCCACAGAGCTGCTCGACATGGGAACTGGCTTCCCTCAGAGCAAGAAAGCTAGAGGGTGAGAAAAGGTGAGCAATAGAGAAGCCACGGAAATTTTAGAAATAACATCCTGACAATTTTACTATATTGTATCTCCAGCCCATGCTTGAGGGGAGGGGAATTACATAAGGGCATAAAAACTAGGTGGGGAGATCATTGGGGATCATCCATCATAGAGGCTGCCTACCATCCTTGGTCAGAACCAGCGCTTTCTTGGATCCCTTCTTTTTCCTTTTGTCACCAGCATAGCAGGTAGCTAGCTCTCTTTGGGGAGGTCGTTTTTTGGAAGGAAACTATTTTGGCCCCTTAGTAGCAATGACAATACCCCCAGCAATGATCTGGTGGGTTTGGGGTTGCGGCAAGGCCCCTGGCTAGACTCATAGCCCTAAGTGAGCCTTGCAGCAAACACAATGCAGACACTCCCTCCTCAGAATGACCTTTGAAGTGATGCATGGACAGTCAGTGCTGAGATAGCAAGTATGTGCAGGCCAAGAGTCTTTTATGCTTTGAAAAATAATTACTCACTGGAGGACTAAAGTTTAAACTCAATTTAAACTCTTTTAGGTTCTGAGATTCACCTCTGTACTCAGTTGAATGATGGCTCCTATGTCCACCCAGAACCTATGAATGTGACCTTATTTGGAAAAAGGATCTTTGCAGATGTAATTAAGTTAAGGATCTTAAGATGAGATCATTGTGGATTATCCAAGTGGACCCGAAATTTAATGACCAATAGGAGGAGGTCACCAATAATAGGAAGACAAGGTGCAGAGGAGAAGGCCATGTGGAGACAGAGGTGCAGATTGAAGTTAGGAAGCCCCAAGCCAAGGAACATCTGGAACCACCGGAAGCGGGGAGAGGCAAAGAAGGCTTCTCCCTGTGGCCTTCCAAAGGAGCATGGAAGCAGGGAAAGCAGGGAGGAGGCTGTTGTAGTCATCCAGGTGAGTGATGATGGTAATCATGACCAGGGTGGTAGCGGGGAGGTGGTAAGGAGAGCTCACATTCAGAGTAGGTTTTGTAGATATAGCTGATGGGACATGCTCATGGATTGGATGTAGGGAAAGGGAGGAAGGAAGGATGATGCTGTGGTTGGGCGCCTGAGTAGTTGGTTGCTGGTAGTTCCAAAGAAGAAGAAAGATTGGAAGAGGAGCAGTTTGGAGTGTGTGGGGACAAGATCGGGAGCCCTCTCTTGGCAATGTTAATCTGAGTTGCCTATTTGTCATCCAACTAAATAGAAAAGAGTTTAGAAATCAGGGTAATATTCAAGACTGGGTATGTAAATTTGGAAGCCAGCAATGTAAAAATGGGTGAGTAGACAATGGGGACTGGACAAGGTGACCTCTGAGGGCCTTGTAGCTGTGACTCTATGAGGACTTCCTCTTCTTCTGTCCCCAGACTCTCTCAGCCTGGCACTCCTTCCCTCATCACCCTGACATGCCCAGAATCTGCCCCCATCTTTCCTCTTTAGATGTTTTTTTTTTTTCCTCTAGGAAGCCTCCTATGATCTTCCAAGATAAAAATGACCCCCTTTTGGGGCACCTGGGTGGCTCAGTTGTTGAGCATCTGCCTTGGGCTCAAGTCATGAACCCAGGGTCCTGGGATCAAGCCCCACATCGGGTTCCCTGCTCCGCGGGAAGCCTGCTTCTCCCTCTCCTGCTCCCCCTGCTTGTGTTCCCTCTCTCGCTGTGTCTCTCTCTGTCAAATAAATAAAATCTTTAAAAAAAATGACCCCCTTTTCCTCAGACTCCTTATCACACCCTTCTATCAATTTCTTTCTTGCATGACTGTGCCTTCCTATCTTTTTGTCTCCCTCAATGGCAGCAACCAGTCCGGTACGTCATGAGTACTTTTTGCTTTTTTAAAGATTTTATTTTTAAGTAATCTCTACACCCTACGTGGGGCTCAAACCCAGAGCCCCAAGATCAAGAGTCGCATGTTCTACAGTCAGGCGCCCCGACATCATGAATACTGTTAAATGGTCCATGCATTGGGAGGCAGTAAAGCATGATGGTTAGAGAACTTGAGCTCCAATCCCAGACAGGATAGGATTCACGTCCCAGCTCCACTACTTCCTGGCTCAACGTCCTCAAGCCTCTGTTTCTCATCTGAAAAATGGGAATTGAAAAATGTACCACATTTCCCACCCAATATATATGTGTGTATGTGTATACATATTCATATATACATGTATATACAATATCTTATATATTATGGAAAAGCGTATGTTCACCTAAAGACATGAGCAAGAATGTTTCCATCAGTGATATTCCAGAAAACTGGAAACAACTCAAATGCCCCATCAGCAGTAGAATGAATAAATTGAGGAACGTTTTACACAAGGTGATGCTACATGGCAACAAGGGTGAATAAACTACAACTGTCTAGAACAATGCGAATAAACTTCACAAACATAATGTTGGGCTATAGAAGCCAGACCCCAAAGAGAAGACAATCTGTATGACCCATTTATAGAAAGTTCAAAAGTAGGAAAAAAAGTAATCTATGCTGTTAAGAGTCAAGGCAGTGGTTACATTTGGAGGATAGCACCTGGAAGGGGAGATGAAAGGCCTTCTTGGGTGCTGATAACGTTCTATGTCTTGATCTTCGTTTTGGTTCACTGTATGAAATGAATTCACTGTATGAAACTTCACTAAGCTGTATGTGTATGACCTGTGCTCTTCTTCATTATGTCTGGTAGACTTAAATAAAAAGAGGCTAAATGTGAGGAGCATATCACAGTCTCTGGCACATAGTAAGTACTCAGTAAATGCTAGTTATCATGAAGGAACGAATGAAAGAACCCTCGCCTTGCCTTCCAGAGAAATCCATTAGCAGTCAGAACCATGGACAGATCAGAGTCCGCTCTCGAGGAAAGCTGAAGGAGAAAGTGATCTTAGGTCAGCTACAAAGGATTGGAAGCAGGTGAGAATCTGAGGCCTTTCCTCTTGGACTAGTGGTTCAGTGCCTTTTGGGGGGCATCCTACAATGCAGAAAGGAGACTATTCCTAGGGGACTGTGGGTTTGTGTGTGGGCTCATGCAGAATTTCATTCTATTTTAAAAGGTCTGCCGCCTCTTGTTTTTCTAAGCAAATGAGTACTGAAATCCCCCTGGGGAGTCCATTCCTGGATCTAGCATATCCAATGGCTTGCTCAGGCTCTGCAGGCTTTGCTCACTGTCTTGGGCTTATATTTACCTGGTTAGGGGAGACAGGGAAGAAA